TTTAACATCCTAGTTCTAATCCCCTTTGCTTATATCCTGGTAGTTATTATTTTCTTCTTTCTACCTTATCCCTCTTTGTCCAGAAAAACATTGAAACATTTTAAAAGCTTGACACTTTCTTACACAAGAGTGTACAGAACCAACTTAAATTTTTTTGACATGAAGATATTACAAACAGCCATCATGATACTAAGCAGTGATAGAATTTTGAGTGTTTGTTGTTGTTGTTTGTTTCCTTTTTCTCTATCCATTGCTATGTCTTCATTTCTCTCACTGTGGGTGGCTATTGGGCATCTGGCAACTAAGAGTTTCTTCTTCCCTCACTATCTACCACTCATTCTTCAAGTTTTTGCTTCTAATATCCCTTCTTACATGTTGTAAGATAAAAAACAGTGAACTAAACATGCTCTGTGTATGTAAAGGAAGGATCTATGAGATTGTACCAGTTCGGGTAGAAAGATGCAAGCACGGGCACTGCTGTTGCTGAAGTTCCTACTTCCTTTTATTAAGACTTGAAGTGGGAACTGGGTTGTGACACCTAGCAAAGAAGATTTGGACAGGTTACACGAAACTGGTCAGCTCTGTCTGTTTCCTGCATGTGTCTCTCTCTCTATACTTCAAATGTGATTCTCCTGAAAGCAGAAAGCAGAGGTGAGTCTTTTGTGACCTCAGGTGAAAGCAGCTCAGATCAGAGCCTCAGGAGATATGTCAGTTGTTCTTGGAGTGTACATAGTGACTATGGCCGACTCAAATCTCCAATCTATTTTCAGAAGAGAAGCCCAACTTTGGTAGTCAGATCCTGGAAGCCAGAGGTAGAGGCAGGCAGGGGTTGAGAGCATGGCCTCAGGTGGAAGCAGCGGTGCAGGTACTATAGAGAACTCTCAGTAATCAGAAGGCATCAAGCATGGAGGTTCGGTATGAAGAGGTTGTCCCTGGGTATTCCTGTAAAGGGGCCTGTTTTTCTATCAGAAGGCAGTTTCACAATTAGATTTGGATTCTGCTATGATATTTTCCAGGTGTGGGATTGGGAAACATGGAGTATTTGTTAGCACAAGTTCAAAATTGTATCCTTGCCAGCACCTGATTAGGAATAAGAGGCCGGGTTGGCTTGTGGCCTGGGCTAGGTTGAGCACCCTCACTCCGTCAGCACTGCGGTTCTGCGCTTATTCTTCTGCTGAAAGTGGATGGGTTATTAGGGCTTGACTTTCCCCTTCCCAATTACATTCTTGATTAAAATTAACCTCCTTTCAGATTCATTAATGAGCTCAATGACACAGGCATTCAAAAGATCTCCCTGGAAAGTTGTCAGTGGTGACCATGGGGTGGTAAAGGCCTTGTCATCCTGATATTCCTTACACAATGTGATGAATCTCCTAACCACCTCCACCCTGCTTGTTGCCATTATGTTCATGGGACGTTTACCAGTTTTATTGAGAATCTCTTGGCAGTCATTCAGAGTCTCCGATCCTTTCCTGATGACAGCCATCACCATAAGCATTATGTGTTCTGTGCTGTGAAAAGTTCTGAATGTCAATTGTCATTTCCTAAAAATGGTTCTGCTGCCCTTGGACAGCTGGTGTGGGAATGGTTGGGGAAGCATCTTTTGCTATTGCAACTCAAGTCAGAGGCTCCTTCTTGAAGTGTAGTATCTTCTGAATGCATCCAGATAGTTCTTTGTTTTTCCTTTTAGTATCAAGGAAAATATCAATAATATTGTTGGTGGCTCTGAAATGGTTTCTAGTAGAAAATGGTTATCTCCACTGTGTATTCAGAGAGTGAGCATTGAGGGTGATCTTGGGAATTTGACAGGTGGAGAGCATCTTGTACATTAGGGCTTGTATTTGTCCAGTCTCCTGTCAAGTGTTTCCTTCCGTAGCCAGACTGACATCAGGGACTGTGTGGTAGGACGAGCTACCTCCTGGTAGCAACTACATGTTGTTTGTACTAGACAACAAGGTTTGGACATAGGCCACTCGACGGACATGCTGTGAACTGGCTTGTGCTGGATTGATCAGCAATTCAGAATTAAGAATATAATGTACATCGTTAGGAGATAAGCACCAAATTTTAATAATTTGGAGTGTTACTGTCTTCCAAGATAACCTCGCTGTATGTACTTTCAAAATCTCAACAATAGAAAATGGCTCCTTATTCCTTCCCTCTATAAACTAATTACTCTCTAGATTTTTCTCATTCCCCTCTTGACACAGCTGCTAGACAATAGAATAAAAAGTTGACTACTAGATATTAATACGAGATCAGATGTGCATACATGATTTGCCAAACTCCAAAATTGACTCTCAGTGTGGTTTACAATCTTGGCAAATCCCATGTCTTCACTGAAAATGGAAAGCATGTATTCTTCAGGAAGATAAAGATCAATGATAACAGGGAGATAATCTTTTAGGGAAACATTGTTCTTAGACACCCACCACAACACCTTGTTCTTAGGAAGCAGAATGTTGTCCTCTACAGGAGTCCGGCTCTGTGTTAGCAAGCTCTTGTCTTCCTGGTTCCAAGTCCTTCCCTTCCCAAATGTCCATACCAGAAAGCAAAAAGCTCAGGCCAAACTAGGGCATGGACAGGAACACAATCTATGAAGAGACGAGACAGTTATTGGTTCTGCATTTTGACCAACTTGTTGTTCTTTTCCTGGACTGACCCACTTGGCCATGGCATTTGCCACTCCTCCTTATCTTCACCAACGTGCTAGTGCTGACACTGTCTTTGCCTTCCTTGATCCTCTAGGCTTAGAGGTAGACTTTTATTGTTGCTGCTGTTTGCTGATCATTGCTGCAAGATGGAGAACTCACTGGGTCAGTATGAACAACTGACCTTCAAATAAGTGTGAAAAATGTATCATTTTTTTCTTTCCTAACAGTAATCCTGCTACTCTCACCCCAGAAATATCACTAACTCAATCAGGACGTAGACCTTACTAAGAGAGGAATAATATTTGCCAAATCAGGCAAAGTGTCAATGAGGTTAGACTCTAGACCACCATCTTGTTACTGACCATAGGCAATAATCATTCAGGAAAAAGTTGAACACAGGTTTTAAATAAAAGGAGTTTTAAATACAAGAGCCAGTGCTATTTCTCTGGCAATTTCAGAGTTCATGTGTCATGTCTTTAAAATCACAAAAGAATATTCAGTGAGAAAAAAAAATGCCTGTATTTTTATTGCTGTAGTAAGAAAATAATACTTTTAGTTATGTATTTTAATTAGTAATTCAGAAGGTTCCAAGCAGCTTTAGTGAGTAGCCTCTAAAATATGGAATGTATTTAATGATGTGTATATTATTGATTTTATATTTCTGGTAATATTTTCGGACTATAGGCCAGGTTTCACGCTGCTACAAGCACAGGTATTTTGTGTTTCTCAACATCCAGTAAGTACTGCTGCTTCAGGGACAGGTTAATCCTCTTTGCGAGAATTTGGCTATATAAATTGGCTTATTTTGGTGAAGAGCACTGTCTAAATTATTTCATTGCCTTTTATTGTGCCAATGTCATGCAATCTAAGTACCAGTTACTTTTAGAGTGAATTCCCTTACTCTTATTTTAGAAAAAAATATATTCAAAAAAATCAGTGAAAACTTTCATTGAATGATATACTTCCAAAGAAGGTAAAATGTATTTCTTATTTATATTTCATTTTCATATTAATGGATATTAATGTCTCTTTTTTGATTGGTGGGTTAATAAATAATACCAAACAAATTGACTTAATTTGGGGGTAGCATCATGCACAGAGTAATATGTAAGAATTTTTAAAAGAAAAATTGAGATGAAAATCAGGAGTGAAGGTAAAAGAGAAGCCTGGAGAAAGGATATGTTGGGCCAGAGAGCAGGAGATGTTGGTAATGTTTGGGAGTTCTGTCATTTCTGTGAAGATTTGAACCAGTGTGTGGTGGGGGATATATATTTACTTCAAGAAAGTTCTGTGGCAAAGTAGGGGAACCTACTAGATAATGTAAGCTTTTGAGAAAAAAAGAACATAAATTCTCTGAAATAAAATGATACCCATTTTATACTCTACAACCAGATACATTCCAGACTGTAAAAATATGAAAGAGAAAAAATAAAATGAGAAAAGCACAGAAGTTCTGTGTGATGGTCTGAGAGTTAAGAGAGAAAAGAAGAAGAAAAAATACTAGAAGAAAATATAAGTGAATGTGAACATAACCTTATCTAGGCATACACCCAAACCTAAAATCTTAAGGGAAAAGATTTACATATTTGACAATAAAATTTTGATACTTGCATTTGGCAAAATGGCTCAAACCAAACAATAATCTAAAAAATGTTTTATATATTGAATATATATGCATACATATGGTTGACAAAGGGTTAATATATTCAAACATAATACCCTTTTTCCCTGTGGGTTTTTTTTTTTTTTTTTTTTTTAGATGGAGTCTGGCTCTGTCACCCAAGCTGGAGTGCAGTGGCGCGATCTCAGCTCGTTGCAAGCTCCGCCTCCCAGGTTCACGCCATTCTCCTGCCTCAGCCTCCTGAGTAGCTGGGACTGCAGGCGCCGCCACCACGCCCAGCTAATATTTTGAAGTTTTAGTAGAGACGGGGTTTCACCGTGTTAGCCAGGAGGGTCTCCATCTCCTGACCTCGTCATCCGCCCACCTCGGCCTCCCAAAGTGCTGGGATTACAGGTGTGAGTCACCGCACCCGGCCTTCCCTGTGTTTTTATGTCTTCTTCATCTCCATGAAATATTCTTGTGTCCTTCTTCACTTGACTGACTTTCACTTACTCTTCGATCTCAACTTGTCTTACTTCCTCAGGTGGTCTTCCCTGACGGCCTGATTCTTTGACCTCTCTTGCAGTACATTTCCTGTGCCAGAGAATTATTTTCCAACCTTCATTGTAGCTGTAATTGTTAGTGACCATCTGTTTTGCTAGACTCTATGCTTCAGCGGGCAGAGCCATGTTTCATGCTTACCACTGTATCTGCAGCTTCTGAAGATTCTTGTAGAACCTCCCTCAGTACTATTTGCCATTGAAATGAATGACTGCTGGAAACAACAGGGGAAAGCAGGGCTCACTGAGCACCATCCCAGCATCCAGACACTGCAGCTGCCCTTCCCTCCATGCCAAAAACCACACTTCTCAAACCTTCACTCAACGCTTCCTTCCCCAAAGATAGAAAATGCATAAGGAGGAGCACAAGGTGACTGTGCTGGGGGCACCCCATAGCACCATCCTCCCAAGGTCCACCGTGATCAACATCCACAGCAAGACCTCCATGCCCGACCATGTCGTCTGGTCCCTGTTCAACACAATCTTCTTGAACTGGTGCTGCCTGGGCTTCATAGCATTCACCTACTCCCTGAAGTCTAGGGACAAGAAGATGGTTGGCAACGTGACTGGGGCCCAGGCCTATGCCTCCACCGTCAAGTGCCTGTACATCTCGGCCCTAATTGTGGGCATCCTCATGACCGTCGGATTCATCCTATTACTGGTGTTTGGTTCTGTGATGATCTACCATATTATGTTACAGATCATACAGGAAAAACAGGGTTACTAGTAGCTGCCCATAGCCTGCGACCGTTGTACTCCACTTTGCAATGCTGGCCCTCACGCTGGGGCTGTTGGTCCTGCCCCCTTGGTCCTGCCCCTAGATACAGCATTTTATCCCCACACACCTGTCCATAATGATATTCAATAAAGTGCATGTGCTTGTGGAAAAAAAAAAAAGAAAAAAGAAAGAAATGAATGACTACTATAAGAACTCATTGTGAACTCTTAGAGGAAGGAAACGAACAGGCAATTGACAAGAGGAAGCATATCAAAGCTCAAAACCCAAACAGGCTAACATATGCTGCATCAATAGTCAAATACATACAGATTAAATGATATATTTGTGAATATATTATCTCTATTTATAAAATGTGTTTGTGTACTTGTTGTCGGAATACCCAAAAAAATTAATAAAAGCGTTAATTGCTTGTGAGAGTGTGATGAAGCATACCTCATAACCTGCTATTGGTAGGAATGTCAATTGGTAAAAATTTTCTGTAAAAACTGAATACTGTTCAAGCTGAAATTTATATTAAGAAAATAATTTGTGGGAGGGATGCATGTAAAGTGATGCTTCTGACATATTGTCTTATCACAATAAAAAACTGGAAATAAACTAAATGTTTATTAATAAGGGATTATATTTAAATCTGAGTCAATCATCCAAATTTTGCAATGTTAACATGTTGCAGCTACAAAAATGGGTGCTATATCTAGAATTATTGAAATCAGTAAATGCTACATTAAGTTTAACTGAAAAATAGAGTCTTGACATGTACGTATGTGTGTGTGGCTATGTATAATGGTATCTCATTTTTGTAAAAATACATGTACATATATAAATATTTAAATGTCCAAAGAAAAACTCTAGAATGATATACCAAAAAATTTGAAAGTGCTTGTGTTTCAGCATTCATTAGTATGCCTGGTGAATGGTTTGGCCGTGTCCCCATCCAGATCTAATCTTGAATTTAACTCCCATAACTCCCCCATGTTGTGGGAGGGACCTGGTGGGAGATAATTGAACCATGGTGGCAGTTGCACCTATACTGTTCTTATGGTAGTGAATAAGTCTCATGAGATCTGATTGTTATACAAAGGGAAACCCCTTTCACTTGGTTCTCACTTCTCTCTTGCCTGCTGCCATGTAAGATGTGCCTTTCGCCTTCCACCATGATCGTGAGGCCTCCCCAGCCACGTGGAACCTCTTTTTCTTTGCCAATTGCCCAGTCCCAGGTATGTCTTTATCAGCAGCATAAGAACAGACTAATACATCTTGCTAATTATTCATTGATATATTCTTTCTCTCAATCCAGTCATTTTGGTCTAAATTATAAGTCCTTAACAAGGGTGGGTGGATAGAGAGAAAGGTAATCAGACAGAGCAAGAGAGAGAGAGATGGAAACATGAGGGTTCAGACTTCTTGGGTTGGGTTCTGCCAAAAGCAGAGCTTGAGAGAAAAAAAAAAATATGTGCAAGTGGTTGTTTCTGAAACACCATCCCAGGGAGCAAAAGTGAGGGATGGAGGAGTGAAGCAGGGAAGGAGAGAAATCTAATAAAAGGCTGCGTGATCAGTTTGACCACTGCATCTGGTGACTAGATCCTTGATCCTGTGAGCCTTTAAGGTAAGCTTACTTATGTCTTCCATGTGGCAGATGTAAAGCCTGACCATCCTTGCCTCCCGCTGCTAGCACACTTCTCCCTGTGGGGGTCAGGATGGATGTGACTGAGCTACTTGGAAGGAAATAGGGAAGAAAACACAAATAATTAGTGTAATTGTTAATTTTGGAGTGAATATTGCTGTGATAAAATACTAGCATTGAAATGAAAATCCCCTCTGTAGTCCATAGCAGTTTCAGCTGTGACTTTCTGGAAACAGAGAAAGCTACAAGGAAAGCCAAATTCCATCTTTCTTGAATTTCTAGCATGGACTACTGAGTGACCAGATTAGATGTTAATCCCATTTCATGTAATGGGACCCAGATGGAATCTAAAGACCAGATACCTTGTTTGGGGCACCGGTAAGCAGGGATTTCAATGTCAAGTAAGCAAGGGACTGTTGTCTAAACATCTCTACCAATTCGGTCTTCATTTGTATTCAGGAGATATTTTATAATCCTGACCTCCTGACCCAATAAGGATTTTGACAATTGAGATCAATCATGATCTCAGTTTTTGATTTAGGACTAAAGGGGAAAGTATTAGCAGTGGAACGTATCCAAGTCACATGGCACCAAAGTTTGTTACCAGCTGCGAATCCATATGGGTTTGCAGCAACCTCAATTCTAGCCTTCTCAGAAGAAAGAATTTGACTAAGGGGCATAAAGCAGAAGGAGAGACCAAGGCAAGTTTTAGAGCAGAGTCAAAATTTATCAAAAAGCTTTGGAGCAGGAATGAAAGCTAGTAAACTGCCCTTGGAATAGGGCCCACTGGGCAACGTGAGAGAGCAAGTGCACTGTTTGACCTTTGACTTGGGTTTTATATGTTGGCATGCTTCCGGGGTCTTGCGTCACTTCTCCCCTGCTTCTTCCCTTGGCCTGTCTGCACATACAGTGGCCGGCTAGCACTTGGGAGGGGCCTCAGGGGTAGTGTGTTTATTGGAGTTGTACAAATGCTCACTGGAGCCATTCTTCCCTTACCAGTCGAATGTTTCTAGAGGAAGGTCATAGACCAGTTAAACTCCACCGTTTTGCCTCTTAGTGTGCATGCCTGAATCCAGTCATCCAACTCCTGAGGTCTCGTCAGGAGGCTGCTGATCACCAGTTTCAGGTTTTTCCTGTTTATTGGGAGACTGCCTTTCCCCTGGGGACACTGGCTGTGACCAATTATTATTTTAGAGAGATAGTTAACATTTGATTGACCATCACCTGATGGTTGCTGGATATTCCTGGTGTGTGTGGGGGGCACCTATCCCGCCCTGTTCATGTCTGACTAACTACCTAGAGTAACAGAAGGCTGTGTTAAGTGCCAGATTCCACCTCTATTTGGCATACTGAGTTGTCATCAGATACATGGCTTGGCAACTTAATTATGTTGCTTCTCAATAGTGCCTCGCCAACACTAGAGTGCTGCCCTTCTTGCTATGGGAGAAAATAAAATAAATAAAAATTATTTTAGGAATGTGCTTAAGGAATTAATATGAAAAGCTGTTTTTAGATGTTTTTCTAAGTCAAGAATTTTTTTTGAAGATAGCATTGGAATCTCATTTGCTCTGCTGTGAACGGAAATGTAGCATTGCTGATGTACTGATTAAATATGCTGCCATTGAGGAGCAGATCGACTGGCATATAGAATATGTGAGCAAGCATGAATAGAAAATAGTGTTATAAATGACTAACTCTCATTTATGTATGTAGATGAATGAGTCTCAGGTTTGAAAATGAATGAATCTTACCAGATCCAAGCTCATACTAGGAAGAAGTTAATATTATGGAAATTCTGAATAAATTAGAAATGTTCTAAAATGTGGCTAATTGCCTTTTCCAATTAAGGAACGATGTGGAGGTGAGTGCTTTTTTTAAAATTTATTTTTAATTAAGACATAGTCATTCATTTCAACTGTTTTATATTTTATTCAGCATGATTCTATTAATAGGACCATGATCCAGAGGTGAGGGTATAAAGCTAGAATCACTTGCATACAGCTCCTGAAATGCTATCACAATGGAGCTCCCTCAGGCTAGGGCAGTCATTTAGGCTCCAGTGCTCCTAACTCTCAAAGGACTGTGGGATGCTTAAAGGGGCAGCAAAAAGTCTCTTAAGCATCTTTGCTTGAAGGGAGAGAATTTGAAATAAAGGATATTTACTTTTACCAGCTTGAATTTTTTTCATATTCTCCAATCTATTACATTTTTCAATAGGAAAAATTGGGGGAATGATATCCATTAGTTCAATTGACTGCTCCTGTACGCTGCTCAAAATGCATTTCTTCATCTTCTGAATGCTAGAGTGCTTATCCTAGGGAAAACACCTCTATTCATCTATCTTAACTCTAATTTCATTCCCAGCCTGTTCTTTTTCTGCTCTTTCAGCCCCTATCACTTTCCATACTCTTCCTCTACCAGTTGTTTTAGATGTGTCCGTTGAACAAGTTACTGAAACACCAAGAATTTTCCTGACAACTTTAATGTTGCCTTAAATAGCTTCTATGGCAGACTGGGTTATTGATGTCAATCTTTTACTTTTTCAGTTAAGTGAGAGAACTATTTCCTTATACATTGATGTTGCAGCTGGCCATGGCACTAGCTTTGTCCAATAAGACATGGACAAACTAACAGGAATAAAACAAATCAGTAACAAAACAGACTGTCATCTCTCACCCAAGGAGTAAAAGATATCTATAAACCATCAATCCATTTATACTGATCATGAAATAATCAGACCAAAGACCCAAAACCCCACTCATTGCTACAACCAACGAGGATTCATAATATAATGGCCTTGAACAAACCAAAACCGAAAACAAAATATTAAAACACTCCATGTCTAGTCTGGGAGACAGAGCGAGACTCCATCTCCAAAAACAAAACAAAACAAAACAAAAACAAACAAACAAACAAAACACACTCCATATCTGCTGACCATGAAGTTATGCAGCAGTTTGAAGCAGTTATAATTGTAAACACAGTAACATAAGGGATTTTAAAAGCATAAAATATAAATGTAGAATAAGATATATAAATGATATTTATGAAAATTTAAAACAGATGTGTATAATGAACACATAGAAACAGAAAATAGCAAACATTTAAAAATAGCAAAATGGTCCTCTATGACAGGAGTAGAAAGAGAGTGGATAAGAGACATAAACATCAGCTCAAACAATAAATGAGGCAAAAAGAGAGCTTTAAAGTGGTCAGATGTGAGAACGGACTACAGATCAACAGTACCATATAATCTAATCTCTGTATCTGAATTTTAAAATAAAATGTTAGAAAGTCTTTCCCCAAACAGTGCAAATATGATCATCTTATTTTTTTCTGGTAGTTATGAAAGTGATTGATTTTTTTCATTTGATATATTTGGACTTCATTGTGCTAGCTAGTATAAGATTATGACTTAATCTTATTTTCTTTCCAAATAACTAATTCTCTCAGAGTCTTTTATTGAAAAATCCTTATTTATTTCTAGTGATGTGTGGTGCCTCTGTAAGCCTGTATTAAAT